GAAAACACAGATATATTAACAGCATTCCCACGACTTGGCTGGAATACAAGGACCCTGACCCCGTTCCTTTACAACTTCACTTGCTGTTACATTATCACAGCAAGGAATGAAATAGTGATAATCATACCAACATTTTTCTGCTATAACAAACATTGCCATCACAAAAGAGTATAAAAACATGATCTACAATGGTGGTGCTGCTGCTGCTGTCACCTAATTCAAGCATTGCTAAGGAAACCCAACCAAGCTTGCCAGGCAGTCAGGCTTCTGGCATTCACATTCAGCCTGTTTTTACCATGATCCCAATCACCAGCTTTCAAACCAATCTCCTAGGATGCTTGGTGGATGGTGATCATTTCTAATTTCTGAATTGGTCCTATTTCAATGAACACAAAATTTAATTCAATACATTTTCTATCTTTAAAAAGATTAAATTGATGACTATTAGTTAATGCATAACTCATCATATAGTATATACTATCTGGTATTGATCCATCTTTCACAAATTTTCTCTAGCAAATTCATGTGCTAAACTTAGTATTTTGTTGATATTTCTATCGTTAATATTTATAGCATACTTTGGATATATTGTGAATATGAATTTTTGATAGCCAAGGTTACCTTATATTATTCCTAGGATAACATTTTTTTCTATCGTTAATTTTATCATCTATTAAAGCTAGCTTTATTGGGTTGTCTATACCTGTTCTAAAAAAAGTTTTAATAAGAAATTGAATTTCTCCTATATGAATAAATCCTATTCTTGATCTATTAGGTTATTTGATTTTTGACAATTTATTTTCTATTTCTACCTTAACAAAGTAGAGGTATATTTATTACTTCTAGTGTATTCTTAATAGGAATACTATATTGATTAGTGGGTATTTCGTAATAGACTATATCTTTCCTCTTAAAAGAATTACTTAGAGAAATTTGACTTAAATCCTTTTTCTAATGTAAGATCTATTTCCTTTCACCTAATTCCTTTATACATACTTTTATCGAATACAGTTAATTGGCTATATTCTCCATACCCTTCATATTCTTCAAAATAAGCTTTCCTTCCCTCAATATTCAGATTCATTGCTAGTGAAAGTATCTAAACTTTCCACTTCATATATACTTTCATTGCTATTTATAGAATTAGTCTCTATTTCGCTTAACTTGTCTTAAATTTTTAAATTTTTAGTACTTTCTCTTTTGCATCTTTTAGGACATTCATTGCATAGTGTCCTTCTTTGCATCCGACATGTGCATTTCTTAGGATTCTTTTTACATTTTCTTGGTGTTTTTGTTTTCTTTTATTCTTATTAAACCTTTGTTTATTACTTCTTTTAATTCTAAATCTTTTGTTTCTCAACTTGTAATTTGAATAACTACATCTTAACTTAATTGGATCACTATTTTTAGGACAACATAACTCCTTTTTTATACTCCTTTTTAATTTATTATAGCTATAGATTTCTATACACTACTCATTTATTTTGGTTTTAGTGAACCAAATTCTTAATCCTAATGTATTGGTTTTATTGTCTACATAGGTTCTACAAACTTCTACTAGCTTTATTCCCCAAGGATTCGGGATTTTTCCAAAAAATTATTCTCTTAAACCTTTTGCCATTCCATGATTTGAGGCCATTCCATGATTTGAGGTTCATAATAATATTTCTGGAATAAATAGATATATTGGTCTAGTTCACAAAGATTATATAATTCTAAATTCTACATATTCCATACTTCTATTCTTCCGATTCTAGCTTCTTCCTTTTCTTGATTTTCTTCTCAATTTTCTCTTAAAAATTCTTTTTTTTTTTTTATAGCTAATTTGAACCTAGTTATTATGTAGCAATCCGACCCTTTGTTTGTTGCCAGGAGCCAGTGTAATGAAACATGTAGATGTGTAGCCCTTTGCACATTGTTGGAGGCTAAATGAGGTAGTAAATCTGGCTCTTTGTCCATCATTGAGAGCTGTGTAAATATAGCCCATTGTCTATTGATGGAAGCCAAAAGATGTAGCAGTGAATATCACTGCGGAGAACATGACCATAAAAAGCGCTCAATCATGTTGTAGAGATAGATATAGCCATGTTTGATCATGTATGTAGAAATAGATGCTGGAACAAGTTTTTTGTACTTCGGTTAGACAGTGTACTGGTATGAGGGAGTATTTCTTATACTCCTACTATAATATGATTTCACTTTGCTGATCAAAAAAAAGATGCTGGAACAAGTTACACCTGCAATATTTCCAATGAAGTTGATGAACGTCGCTCTTGGTGATGTTAACTTCATTGCACTAATTAGTAAAAAATAGAAATTGCATATCTGATGTGGAAAATAGATCATGTGGGTCCTTGCTGATGTGGAGCCACACAAGTCATTAATTTCAAAGCTATACAAATTCATCCCCCAAGAAAAATTTAAAAATCCAATCAATTTTTAAATCTAACTATTAATATTTAATAAAAT